GAGCATGTGACAAGCTTTGAGACCTTTTACAGCCGCTACAGCATGGATTCCAGCCGTTCCGCTTCCCACGCGCTCCAGATATGTTGCGCCGACAACGCGGTGCAAAAGTAGTCGCGCGAACGCGGTCGCGCGCGTCCGAAATCGGCTCAAAAGGGATCGATTTGCGACCATACCCTACGATCCCAGACTTTGCGCGAGTTCGGGCGTGCCAGGAGTCGCAGGGGCGTCGATCGTGTCCTATCGTAACCCCATCGTCGCGCTGCGCAAGCGGTTCCGCGTCTTGGCGTCCGTCGGCGTTTTGGCAGCGTTCGCGGTCGTGTCGGCGTTTCGGCGCTCGTCTCGAACGCGCGGCCGCGGAGTCGAAACAGTCCCCGAGGGTGTTCTCGCGGTTCAGTCCGCTCGAGGCGTGTATGGAGCAGACCGCGGTAACAAAACGGCTCTCTATGATGCCACGAGCGGCTCGGAGAGGTGGGATCGACACGATTTGAGCATATATTCGTCGAGAGCGCGACCTCCGCGCGCCCGCGCGCCCGCGATTCGCTGGAAAAAAGTAGTCAGGCCCACGCGTTGGGTCTATGCGCCGCGCGTCACGGCTTTACCGCGCTCAAATCGACGCGGTACAGCCGCCGTCTCGGCCAGACGGCGGCGGCGCCAGCGGCTGAAACAGGCCAAAAGGCAGTGAGCACGGCAGGATGGTCTGAGCCCAATTTCAGAGCAGCATGCGCCGCGCGCTGCTCGGATGCCTGCTGGGCGCCGCGCGCGTCGCCGGCCGCGTGGAGCTGAGCCCCCTCTTCTCCGACGGCGCGGTCCTCCAGACGAACTTCGAGTCGGGCATGCGGTCCCTCATCTACGGCCGCGCCGCGCCCGGCGAGACCGTGTCCGTGGCCGGGGCGCACCGCATCGTCGGCAAGGCGCCCTTCTCGACGGTGACCGATTCGAAGGGCCGCTGGCGCATCCAGCTGGATCCCTACACGCACCCGAAGCACGCGACGAACAGCTTCGCGCTGACGGTGTCCGGGTCGGCGACGCGCGACGATATAACGCTCCGCGGCGTCACCTACGGCGACGTCTACCTCTGCGCGGGCGGCGGCCCCGCGGCGGCGCCGGGCGCGCGGCCACCGCCGGGCGCGGCGCGCGTGTCGCTCCTCAAGGTCGACGCGGCGCCGTCGGCGGCCGCGCGCGACGACTTCCGCGCCGCGAGCCTCGGCGGCCGGCGCGGCTGGGCGCCGCTCGACCGCGCGGCGAACGTCAGCGCCGCCTGCGTCGCCGCGGCGCTCGCCGTCGCGGACAAACACTGGGGCGACCGGCCCCTGGGCATCGTCGAAGCGACGGCCGACGCGTCGATCGACGCGTGGCTGCCCCGCGAGGCGCGCGGCGCCTGCGACAACCGGCGGCGCCTGTCGTTCTTCGGCGCGAAGAAGAAGCGGCGCGAGGGCGACGCGCACGGGTCCGTCTTCGGCGGGCTGATTCATCCGCTCGTGGGCTTCGCGCTCCGCGGCGTGTTCTGGCTCCAGGGCGACCGCGACGTCGCCGCGGCCCCGGGCGCCTACGGCTGCCGGCTCCGCGCGCTCATCTCCTCCTGGCGGGACCGCTGGGGCATCGGCGAGTTCGCGTTCGTCGCCGTGGAGGCGGCACCGGGCGCCGCGTCGGCGGCGCTCCCGGCGTTCCGCGCCGCGCAAAGGTCCGCGCTGCCGCGGCCGGGCGGCGACGTGCAGACCACGGGCCTCGCGGCGACGTATGACCTCGGGCGCGCGCCGCCGGCGGCGGCCGTCGGCGACCGGCTCGCGGCGGAGATGCTGAGGGTGGCCTTCGGGCGCCGGGACGCGCCCGAGGCGCCGCGCGTGGTCCGCGTCGCCGCGGCGGGCGGCGCCGTCGTCGTGGAGCTCAGCGCGCCCGTGGTCTACCGGGACGCGCGCGGCTGCGCGGCCTGCTGCAAGCGCGACCGCCGCGTCTTCCAGATTTCGAGGGACGGTGACACCTGGGCGAGCGCGGGAGCGCCCGCGGCGGCGAACGGCACGATCGTCGTCGCCGCGGCCGGCGTCGTCAGGCTGCGCTACGACTGGCTCCCCGCGCCGGAGTGCGTCGTCGTCGGCGAAAACGGCGGCCTGCCCCTCGCGCCCTTTGTGCTCGACGTCGGCGGCGGCGCCGTCGCGCGGACGCCGCCGATGGGCTACAACACGTGGAACTACTTCCACTGCAACGTCGACGAGAGGGCCGTCGTGCGCACGGCGCGGCTCCTCATCGACCTGGGGCTCGCGGCCAAGGGCTACGCCTACGTCAACGTCGACGACTGCTGGCAGGTCGGGCGGGACGGCGCGGGGAACATCGTCGCGGATCCCGCGCGGTTCCCGGGCGGCATGAAGGCCGTCGCGGACGCGGTGCACGCCCTGGGCATGAAGTACGGCCTCTACACGGCGTCGCACGAGTTCACGTGCCAGGGCCGGCCCGGGTCCTACCTCCACGAGACGCGCGACGCGGACGCGTACTGCGCCTTCGAGGTCGACTACGTCAAGATCGACGCGTGCGGCGGCCGGGGCTACGCCAAGAAGGACCGTCGGAAGTCGTGGCAGCTGTTCCGCGACGCTTTTGATGAGTGCCACGCGCGCACGGGCCGCGCCGTCGTCGAGTCCGTCGAGAGCTGCGGCACCGTCGACGAATGCGGCGCGTGGGTCGGCGACGTCGCGCACCTCTGGCGGACGACGAACGACATCCAGAACAACTGGGCGTCCGTGCTCGCGAACGCGGACGCGACGGAGCGGCTCTGGAGCCTGGCGGGGCCCGGCCACTGGAACGACCCGGACATGCTGCTGGTGGGGAACGTCGGGCTGGACGCGGACGAGGCGAGGGCGCATTTCTCCATCTGGTGCATGCTCGCGGCGCCGCTGCTCATCGGGACGGACCTCCACGCGCTGTCGGCGGAGAACCTGGCGATCCTCGGCAACGAGCACCTCATCGCCATCGACCAGGACCCGCTGGGCTTCCAGGGGCGCAAGGTCGTCCGCGGGGCGCGGGAGGTGTGGATGAAGCAGCTCGCGAACGGCGACGTCGCCGTCATGCTCCTCAACCGCGACGCCCGGGCGGCGCGCGTCTCGGCGAAGCTCGACGCGGTCGGACTGGCGGCGGGGCGGCGCTACGCGGTCTTCGACTGCTGGCGGGGCAAGGCCGCGGGGACCGCCGCGGGCTCGTACGCGGCGGACGTCCCGCGCCACGGCGCGGTCGTCGTCCGGCTGTCGCCGGACACCGCGGGGAAGGAGCCGGCGAAAAGCGGCGGCCTGCTGAAGGGGCTGCTGGCGGGGTAAGGCGGCACGGCGGGCGGGATGGGATGGGGGACCGGACGGCGTCGATTTTGCCTTGACGTGTCTCTAAACGTAGGGGGCCCATGGAGGAACCGCGGGGGAAGGGAGGCTCAAAGGGATTTTGCCGAGGTCGTCTGGGCGCCGGGGGGCCGCGGACTTCGACTGCGAACCGCACAGCGAGGGACACGATGTCTGCGCCCGCGACAGCAGCGAAGCCCGCTGAAGCGGCGACGACCGTGCGACCCCCGCGTCGAATCCGTGCGGGGGAGCGCGCGCGCGCGCGCGCGCGCGGCACCGCGCGCGCGTCCGGAGCGGGCGCGGCGCCGTCGCTTTTCGCGAGACCACCTTTGGGAAGAGGCTCGCGCGCGCACCCATGACGGACGCCCGCCCTCCGCAGGACGCCGCGGCCTCCGGCGAGAAGCGCAAGGCCGACATCGAGATCTTCGAGGAGGACGACGAGTTCGAGGAGTTCACCATGGAAGATTGGGACGAGACGAAGGAGGACACCGACGACCAGAAGCTCTGGCAGGCGCGGCGCCGGCGTCCGGGGCGCCGCGCGCGCGGCTCGGCCGCCGCCGCGCGTGTCCGCGGTCGCGCGCGACGCGACCGCCGCTCGCTCGCCGCGCGCGCGCGCGGCCCCGCCGCGCGACGCGACCGCCGCTCGCTCGCCGCGCGCGCGCGCGGCTCCGCCGCGCGACGCGACCGCCGCGCGTTCCGCAGGACGACTGGGACGACGACGACGTCGACGATGACTTCTGCCGCCACCTGAGGGAAGAGATCAACAAGCCGGAGAAGTAGGCGCGCCCCCTCGACCCTCGCGCGCGTCGCTACACACACCGTTCTTAGCTAGCGGCCCCGCGCGAGGACGTCGCCGACGACGCGGTTGAACGCGTCCGCGTTCTCGAGGGCGATCTGGTGGCCCGAGTCGGGGACGATGACGAGGTCCGCGCCGTCGGGCCCGAAGCGGCCGAGGACGTCGGGCACGGCCGGGTTGAACATCCAGTCGCGCCGGCGGTCGCCGAAGAGCACCGTCGTGTCGCACGAGAGCGACTCGAGGTCCTCGGCGGCGAGGGGCCGCCGCGCGTAGATGCCGCGGAGCGCGTCGTCGCGGTCCGCGGGCGCGAAGAGGCTCGTGAGCGCGAACTCGCTCGACGCGTCGAGCACGTTGATGGAGTAGAGGTACTTGGCGAGGTCGAGGACGTCCTCCTCGGACACGGCGACGCGCGCGTAGCGCTCGCGCACGGAGCGGAGCGCGGCCGCGAAGGCCGCGGCGTCGCCGAGGACGCCGACGGTGCGGAGCATGGTCTGCGGCGTGCACGACCAGCGCCAGAGGCGCAGCAGGAGCTCCGAGGACGCCGTCCGGAGCCCCGCGGCCGACGCGTCCGTGCCCGCGGCGGCGACGGCGGCCGCGCGCCTCGCGGCGCGCGCCGACGGGCCGCGGCCGCGCCGGCGGACGCCCGCGGGCCGCGCCGCGTCCGGCGCGAAGGGGAGCCCGAGCGGGCTCACGAGCACGAGCCGGTCGACCTTGTCCGGGCGGCGGAGCGCGTAGTGCGTCGCGAAGTAGGCGCCCATGGAGTGCGCGACGATGTCGACCTTGCGGCCGGGCACGCAGGCGTCGACCCACGCGTCGAAGCTCTTGGTGAACCAGTCGACGCCGCGCGCCACGGCGGCGTCGCGCGCGGCCTCCGTCGGGAACGGCGCGACGGCCTCGAAGCGCGGCCGCGCGGACCGGCCCATGCCGAGCCAGTCGAGCGCGAGCACGCGCCGCCCGCCGCCCGCGCCCGCGAGGGAGTCGACGTTGCGGTAGTACGTCGCCTTGCCCGAGCCGAAGCCGTGCGCGAGCACGCAGGGCGTCGCCGACGGCGGGCCGGACACGTCCAAGGTCGCGATGGTCTGCGCGCCGAGGCTGCAGGAGTCGATGACCACGTCCTTGACGTCGACGTCGCGCGACACGCGCGCGAGCAGGAGCCGCTCGGCCTCCGCCGCGCGCTGCTGCCTGCCTTCCGGGCTGCGCGGCCACTGCGCGGGCCAGCTCGAGGCGATGGGCACCTCCGTCGCCGGCCGAAGCGACAGCGACAGCGCGCGCCGCACCATCGCGCTGAGAACGACGAACGTGCTTCCGCAACGAATCATTGCAACACGCTAGCCGACAACAGCGGTGCAGGCTTGCAGGGTTCGAACCTTACATTCTAATGCCGAATCGACAACTCCAACGTCAAAGAGCACGTTGACCCAAGAGGCAGCCCGGATATCCGAGCACGTCGGGGACGATGGGCCGGTCGGACTACGAGGCGCTCGAGGAGCGCGCCTGGGGCGGCCGCGGCCTGCTGGCCGTCGTCGGCGGCCTCGCCGTCGGCGGCCTCGCGAACTTGGCGGCCATCGGCGGCACGCCGTACAAAGGCGCGATGCTGGCCCTCGAGAGCTTCGGCGGCAAGGGCGCGCGCTCGTCGCCGGCGCAGCTGTCGAACGCGACGGACGAGAGCGTGGTCACGACGACGGTCTACGCCGCGGATCTGCTGAAGATCGACTCCGTGTGCGAGTGGATCGAATCCTACGAGGGCGTGGACAAGTGCACGTCGCTGAGCGACGAGAAGCTCTACAAGCTCGTGCCCAAGAGGATGGTCTTCGAGACGCGCAAGTCCTTTGTGCGCGGGTCCATCGGCGACGACGCCGAGGGCGGCTACCTGACCTTCAACATGGTCATGCAGAACCGGGACAACACCTTCGACGCGTCGTGGCTGGTGGTGTGCGACGTCTACGGGACCATCGAGACCATGGAGCCCCTCTACCAGGGCAAGGAGTTCTACCGCGCGGCGGGCCTGAAGATGTACAGCGACACCGAGGTGCTCTTCGCCGCCGGCGAGTCGACGTCCCTCAACGGCTACGTCTACCTCTTCGACTGGAAGACGGGCACCTACGCGAAGCACGGCGACAAGAAGGTCGACATCCACGACCTCCAGCGCGCCTACAGCGGCGACTACTACTGGGCGCTGGATTCCAAGGAGTACGGCAAGGTCGACGTCGCTAACGGCGCCTGGACGATCGGCCCGAACGAGATCGGCGTCGCGCAGTCCGAGGTCGACGACCTCAACCATATCCAGCTCATCGAGGACGACAAGTACGCCATCCTGAGCTCGCGGTCGACGAACACGATCTACAAGGTCAAGGCCGATTCCGGCGACGAGGTCTGGGCCCTGGGCGGCGACCTCGGCGACTTCACGATCACCGGCATCGACGGCACGGAGTACGAGGCGGGCCACTCCTACTGGCACGGCCAGCACAACGCGGAGTACATCGGCAACGACGAGTACGCCATGTTCGACAACAACTTCGACTACGTCGAGAAGGGCTCGAAGCTGCTCGTCGTCAAGCTCGACGAGGACGGCGGGAACGCGACCGTCGTCTTCGAGTACTCCACGGGCACCTACTCCATGGTCTTCGGCGACAACGACAAGCTGCCGACGACGAACATGCTCGGCTGCTGGTGGCCGTCGTCCTACTACACGTCGAGCGACTACGCGAACGCGAAGGTCGTCGAGGTCGTCCGCGACACGTCGGACATCGCGTTCGAGCTCGACATCTACAACGACGTCACCTGCGAGGCGGACTCCTGCGACGTCGAGGAGGGCTGGCTCATGTACTCCGTCGAGCGCTTCTACACGAAGCCCCTGGTCTACGGCCTCGCCTGCGCCGCGGGCGACGACGACGGCGCCTACACGCTCACCGCGACGACGATGGACACGCACAAGATGGCCTCCAAGTCGCCGGGCTCCTACGTCGTCGAGGACGCCAAGGGCGCGACCATCGCGTCGGGCACCTTCGACTTCGACGCCCACTGGAACCCGACGGCGCTCAGCGTCGACGTCACGGGCCTCACGAGCGGCGAGGGCACGCTCAAGGTCACGAACAAGTACGACTCCGTCCGCAGCTACGACTTCACGTGCTAGGCGCGCGTCTCTCCCTTTCGAACGTTACAGAAATTCCAGCATGGCGAAGAGCACGCGCGCGAGGAGCGGGTGGTTGTGCCGCGTGTGGACCGCGTCGCCCTTGACGACGCCGCAGAACGTCCGCGAGATCGCGTCGGCGCGCAGGATGCGCAGGCCCGGCAGGGGCCAGGCCTCGCGGCCCGCGACGCCGCGGACGTCGTCGGGGCAGGGGAAGCCCGGCCGCCGCGTCGCGCCGCCGACCCAGCACGCGTTCAGGTCGTCGACGAAGTGCTCCGCGACGCCGTTGAGGAAGGCGGAGCCGTAGGCGTCGATGGTCACGTTCGCGCACATGGCCTCGGGCGACAGCGTGCCGTAGCGCCGCCGCGGCGGCGGCCGCTCGCGCCGCGCGTCGTCGACGCAGCTTCTGACGAGCGGCGCCGCCGCGGTCCGCGGCTCCGACTCGAGGGACCGGAGCGCCGCGTCCCACGCGCCGTACAGGTTCTTGTCACAAACAAAATTCGTGTGCCGCCAGACGAGGGCCGTCCGGGCCAGCGCGCCCCGCGCGAGCGACCAGCGCACGATTTGGTGCGCGACGTCCGCAAAGTCCGCGACGTAGTTCGCGTCCTTGGCGTAGGTGAGGGGCCGCCCGGGGTGCGCGTGGAGCACGTGGAGGCCGTAGTTCATGACCCAGATGCGCCGGACGTTGTCGTTCCCCGGCCAGACGGGCACGCCTAAAACCGCGTCGTGGTTGACTTTCGCGACGGACGCGTTGGCGAAGCCGTGGTAGGACTCGGCGTCGAAGGCGTCGGAGCAGTTCCGGCCGTCCTTCTCGAGGATCATGACGCGGCAGTTCGGGCTCGTGTCCGGCGACCGGCTCACGCGCGCGGCGCGGAGCGCGTCGTTCAAGGTCCTCGGCGGCGACACGGTGCCCTTGTCGTCGGCCGTGCCCGGGTAGATGAGGCGCAGCGAGTGGCGCGTCTTATTCTTCGAGCCCTCGGTCCTGGCCTTGGCGACGGCCGCGCGCGTCGCCGCGACGACCTTGTCGGCGTAGTACCGCGCCGCGGCCGCGACGTCCGGCGCGGCGGCGAAGCGCAGGAGCTCCTGCAGCGGGCCCTGCATGTTCCGCGTCGTCGAGTCGCCGTGGAAGACGAAGCCGGCGTTCCTCACGGCCGCGGACAGCGCGACGGCCGTGTCGAGGGCCTAGGCGGGCGCGCGTCGCTCAAACGTTAGAAGGACGCGACGCCGGGGGTCCGCGCCGGCGCGACGCAGCCGCAGGTCCCGTCGCGCGCGACGCATTTGAGCTCGCCGTAGGGATCGCCGAGCGTGCGCGACCAGGACTCGGCGACGGCGCCGACCATGAGCCCGGCGCAGAGCACGTCGCTGCAGCGCGGTAAGTGGTCCGGGATGTCGACGAAGCAGGCCGTCGCGCGCGGCCGATTCGCGTAGTCGAGGTCCTCGAGCACGGTGGCGGCCGTCGCCGCCGCGACGGCCCATGCGAGTAAAGCGATCATCGAGTCGAGGTCACCATCGTAAATAACACGTTGGAGTGAGCCAATGCTTCAACTTACGTCAAATGTATCATCGTCAAACGCTCAAACTACCGCGCTATAGTCTCACCGCCCATCGCGCAGCGGTTTGCGTCCGCCGCGCCTCGACGGTCGCCGCATCCTTCGGAGCCCTCCGCCCGCCGTGAGTGGGGGCGCGGCTAACACCGGAGCCACCTCGACGCGCGGCGCACCGCCCGCGACGCCGCCGGCGCCATGTCGACGTCGAAGACGACGCAGCAGCAGATCTACGCCGAGGACATGAGCGAGGAGAAGGTCGAGTTCGCGCTGGACATCGCCCAGGAGGGTTTCAACCAGGCGTCCTTCAAGGGCAAGGTCTACTCCTACATCGCCCAGTTCATCCGCGCGGGCTTCGAGAAGGCGTACGGCAAGGGCTGGAACGTCGTCGTCGGCCGGTCCTTCGGCGCCTACGTGACGCACGAGATCAAAACCTACATGTACTGCTCCGTCGTCCCCGGCGTCTGCGTCCTGATCTGGAGATGCGAAGGCGAGCCGACCTAGACGCGCCGCGAGACGCGCCGCGGCGCCGCGGCGCCCGCCGCCGCGGCCGCGGGCCGCCGCCCGACGTTTTTGGAGGACCCGACGCCGCGCCGGAGATGGCCGGACGCCGCGCCGGAGCCCCCACGACGCACCACTCGCCTCGCCGCCCCTCCCCGACCTAAGCACCCCCCGAGACGAGCGGCGCCCGGACGCGGTTACCACGCGCGGGGGCCTTTTCGCGGCCTCCGCCTAGGAGACGCGGAGGCCGAGGAAGGTGGAGAAGATCGCGGAGGAGGACGACTCGAAGACCGCGTCGTGGAGGAAGCGCTCGAGGAGGAAGCACTTGACGGCGAGGTAGTCCTTGTCGAGGCAGCGGAAGAGGCGCTGGCGGCGCTTGAGGCAGCGCCAGGACCAGAGCGTGTTGCGGTAGGTGACGTCGGCGTCGGGCTCCTTGGCGATGGCCTGCTGGAGGTCGAGGAAGTGGGAGTGGCGGCGCCAGATGCCGAAGGTCACGCCGCCGAGGCGCGCGACGACGAGGTACTCGGCGCGGAGGTCGACGCCGCTGCGCTCGCGGACGATCTGGAACTTGGGGATGCGGATCATGAGCGACGTGCGCTCGCCGCAGCAGTCGCACTGGAACGACTTCGTGACGGACGTGCCGAACGGCGACGGCTCCCGGAGGATGGGCACGGCCGCGCGGCCCGGCGGCGGGCCGCAGGGCGGGCAGGCGCCGTCGTCGTAGGCCACGCAGGACTTCTCGAAGTTGGCGCGCATGGCCGCCTCGGCCGCGCGCCGCTCCGCGAGCGGCTGCGGCGGCCGCTGGCCCGCCGTCGCGTGCCAGAGCACCTGGTCGTCCAAGGTCGCCTCGAGCACGTAGTCGGGCACCTCGACCTCGCTGCGGTTCCCGCCGAGCCGCTCCTGGGACGGCTGGTCGCCGTGGGCGCCCTCCTCCTCGTAGAAGCCCCAGTCGCTCGCGTACGTGCTCGCGCTCTCGGAGCTCGGGTTCCGCGCGAGGCGGCTCCGGCTGAAGACGCGCGCCGGGGCGCCCGCGTGCATGTTCCCCGAGCGCATGGCACGCGCGAGGCCCTCGAGGGCGCCGCCGGAGTCGTGCTTCGCCGCGGCGTCGAGCTTCGCGGGCGACCCGGTCCGCGAGTTGTTCGACCCGTGCTTCGAGCCCGCGGAGCTCCCGGAGTCGTCGCGCCGCGCGGCGACGGGGCGCAGGTGGAAGCCCCCGCCGAGGTGCTTGCTCCAGCTCAGGCGGTGCATCGCGCACGCCTTGCGCGACAGCGAGTTCGCGCGCGGCCGGCGGCTCGGCGCCGGCTCGTCCTGGATGCCGAACATGGTGTTGAGCTGGATGCGGGTGTCGTTGATGCCCAAGCTCGCCATTGTTTTAAGCCGTGGTTTTGGCTATCGGTCGACTTTTTGACGCGAGGAACGTCGATGGATTTGTTTCGAGGCGTTTTGAGGCGTTTTGAGAGCCGGGTCTTCGCTGTTTTGGTCGCGAGGGGACGTGAGCGGCGGTCGTCGACGCGTCGATCGAGTGGGAGGTATGCTCGACTCGTAGCCCGTCTCGGAGCCGCGCCTTCTTCGATGCCAGCTTGCCAGCGAAGCAAAGCCGCAATCTTTTGTGGCGAATCGGGTCGACGGCCGTCGCGCACCCAGGCGGATCGACGCCCCGGCTAGGTGTCGTCTTACGCTCGTGGGCTCGCGCTTCGACGGGTGTGACGGCGGGCGTGATGGATGGCGAGCTCGTCGATGAGAGATCGCTTTATCGCAAATTATGCGACGCCACAGTAGTTGGGGATATTCCGCTAATGCGACGTGCGCTGGCTGCGGGTGCCGACCCGAACATGATAGAAGTTGAACGTCTTGCGCCCTTACAGAGCGCTGCTGTCATATGTCGCCCTGAAGCTGTCGCCGAACTCCTATCAGCCGGTGCGCGTGCAGACATCTCGGCCGATCGTACCGACACGCCGCTAATCTTGGTTTTCTTAGTACATAAGAATAAAGAACGGAAAACGCGTACGATCGTCAATGATCTCATTTCAGCGGGCGCTGATGTTCATGCGCGAAGCCAACGTCGCGGCGCGACTTGCGGCGCGTGTCCATTCAGTCTGGCTCTCGAGGGAGGATTTCGATGGATTCTTCTAGATCTTCTTCGCGCCGGGGCCGAGGTCAATACAGTCCTCCGATCGAAGATAGTCCCCGCCTATGACACAACACCGAGTTTTGAACGCACAATAGAGGTCACTCGTTCAGTTGAAAACGCGTCCGCTTGGGCGCTCGTGGACGCCATCAAGAAGGCCGGCGATTTCGACGAATACGCGCGCCGGCAGCTAAACGGCCACATCTCCATGCTCACCAAATGCTTCGGAACCGCGTTGCCCGTCGATGCGTGGTCGCACGTCGCCGGATTCTACGCGCCTCGGGGGGGCTACTGACTCATGACTAAGCATCGATCGCGAGTTTTTCACTCAGAATCTGATCCCCCGGGGAGAAACCTCCACCCAAAAGGTAGTTACGACACCCAGTCGGGCTTCTTCGGCGGCGCCTTCTTCTTGGCCGGCGCGGGCGCGGGCGCGGGCTCCGGCGGCGTCGCGCCGCCGAAGTTGTCGTCCCAGGCGGGCCGGCCGTCGTCGCGCGGCGGCGACGCGTCGGGCTCCGGCGGCGGCGCGGGCTCCGGCGGCGGCGCGGGCTCCTCCGGCGGCGGCGGCGCCGCGTCCTCGGCTCGCGCGAGGTCCCGCGGCTTCGCGGTCCGTCGCGCCGCGCGGCGGTCGCGCGCCGCGTCCGAATCCGCGCCCAGCGCGAGCTCGCGCCGCGCGCGCTTGGACTGCTCCGCGCGCGCGCGCAGCGCCTCGACGGTGCCGAGGAGCTGGGCGCGGCCCGGCGCCTTCTTCGGCGGCGCCGCGGCGCCGTCGGCGGCGGGCGGGTCGCCGAGCCACGCCGGACGCTCGGTGCCCTCGCGCAGCGACACGGCGAGCGCGTCGAGCAGCTCCTCGACGTCCGCGGCGTCCTCGTCGGCCGCGGCGAGCGCCGCGGCCTGGTCGCGGGTCACGCGCTCCTGCGCGAGCGCCGCCTGCCGCGACTGCTCCAGCCGTCGCCAGACGTGCGGCGCCGCCGCGCAGGTGCACTCGGGCAGGCTGTCGGCCTCGACGCGCCGCTCGCCGAGGGCGAGGGCCATGGCCTCCTCGAGCTCCGCGACGCGCGCGCGCAGGCGCGCGTTCTCCTCCGCGAGGCCCCCGGGCGCCGCGAGGCCGACGCCGCGGCGCTGCTTCGACGACGCGCGCGGCGGCGTCACGGCCCAGAGGCCCGTCTGGGTCATCTGGCCGCCGAGCTTGGCCACCTGGCCCTTGTAGTCCTGGGCCGGCTGGGCCATCGTCGCGTCTTGGAGGTCTGGGCGGGCGCTCTCAGAGAGCCATGCCCCCTGTTTTTGACGCTGTTCAACCTCCTCATGTGAGGTCATGTTTACCCGAGCGCGCAGTTCTGGCCCGGCGCTGGCTGCGCGCGCGGGCTGCCATGGGCGGCGCGTCGAGCAAGCCGAAGAAGAAGCAACGGAAAGAGAGGCCGCCGGCGCCGCCGCAGCGGCGCCTCTCCTTGCCGCCTCTAGCCTTCGCGAATGCGCGCTCCAAGGAGGACAAGGTCCAAAAGGCCTTCGACGCCATGGACGGCAACAAGGACGGCAAATTGGACCCGGCGGAGGTCACGGCCTACCTGCTCAAGATGGGCTACGGCCGCGACGAGTGCGAGCGCTTCGTCAAGCTCGCGGACGTGTCCGGCCACGGCTGCGTCGACTTCAACGAGTTCCACGCGGCCTGGGGCTTCCTGAACGCGTTCCGCGTGTCCAAGCACACGGCCGGCGAGGTCGTGCGCAAGCCGGGCTCCGTCGACGGCAAGGATTTGGTCGTCGAGGACTGCAAGGACTGCGCCGTGAAGATATTGGACGTGACCGCGGCGCTACAAATCGACGGCTGCGAGAACGTCACGTTCGCGCTGGGGCCCTGCGCGGGGAGCGCGCGCGTCGGCGTCCCATGTTCAGAAGCCGTCGCCGAGGAATCATGGTATGTAGGTCTTCGTCCGCGACTGCAAGAACTGCACCGTCTCTCTCGCGTGTCAGCAGCTACGAACCCGCGACTGCGCCGACACGACGTTCTACCTCTACGCGGCGACGGAGCCCATCGTCGAGTCGTCGCAGAACCTCTCCTTCGCGCCCTTCAACGTCGCCTACGACGGCCTCGGCGCGCAGTTCGCCAAGGCGGGCTTCGACCCCGCGGCGAACCTGTGGTACGCGGTCTACGACTTCTCGTCGCCGGACGCGCAGGACGAGAGCCACTGGGTCGAGCAGCCGCCGGAGCGCTTCGCGCCCCTCGCCGTCGAGGTCGAGGAGGGCGTCCCCTGCGGCGAGCAATGTCCCGTGCCCCGCGACGCGCGCGCGCCCATCCCCGCGGACAGCATGCGGGGCATGGCCATGCACAAGTAACATTCGAACGGACAGCACGCGGGGCTACCGCGGCGCGTCGCGCGGCGTGCGCAGGATCGCGGGGATCTTGCTGCCGCGGATGCGCGTCTCCTCCGGCGGCGCGGCCCCGGGGCGGCCCAGGACGGGGGGCTCCCGGGGCGTGTTCGGCCCGCGCGCGGCCTCCGGGAGCTCCTCGGCGTGGGCGACGCTGTGGCGGCGGTAGAGCTCCGTCGCGCGGCGCAGCGTGGGCGCGTCGGCGCCGGGGCGCTTCGCCGCCGCGGCCCGCGCGAGCGCGAGGTAGCGGACGCCGAGCGCGAGGTCGCCGACGCGCGCGCGCTTGTAGAGGCCGGCGGCGACGCCCGCGGCGCACTCGACGTACTCGGCGTCGTCCGGCGACGCGCCGGAGAGCGCCATCGTCAGGTCCGTGATGGCGCCGTCGAAGTCGTCCCTGTGGAACCGGTCGAGGCCCCGGAACCTGGGCAGCAAAAGGGTGATTCAACGTCGCTTCAACGTGAGTGTTCCGCGCGCGCGTGATCCGGAAAAAGCATCCACGCTTCGAGAACGCTCCAAGAGATGATCGCTCGTCCAAGAATTAGCCGAAACGAGTGGAAAATGGCCGAGATACGAGCCTTTGAAGTTGGGAATTTCGCTCTCTTTTGCTGCCCTGCCCGGAACGCGCGCCACACGAAGTCGACGTGCGGCTCCCAGTCGTGGAGCTTCAGGATGACGTCCAGCGCCGCAAGCTGGGCCCCGGAGTCGCCCGCGGTCGCCGCGAGGTACGCCAAACCCTCGTGGCTCTTCGCCGCGACCATGAAGAGCTGGCGCGCGGCCGCCGCCGCGCGCAGCCGCGCGGCGTCGTCGGCGCCGTCCGCGTGCCGCCGCGCCGCGTCCTTGGCGGCCTGGCCCAGGCTCACGAGCGCGTCGCGGAAGCACGCCGTCGCCTCCGCCTCGTGCGCCGGGCCGTAGCCGACCCAGGTGAAGCCCCGGAGGAAGTGGAGCTGGTAGGGGAGCACCGCGTCGCCGAACTCGTCCTTGCGCTTCTCGACGACCTGGTTCCCGAAGTGGACGGCCTTGGCCTCGTCGGGCGACAGCGCCTCGAGGTAGCCGCTCCAGCTCAGCGACTCGGCGACCAAAGCCATGGCCTTGGCCACGAGGCGCGCGTCGTCGTCGTCGAGCAGCTCGCCCTCGTCGCGCGCGGCGTCCAGCGCGCGGATCGCGTCCGCGCGCGTCGCGGCCGCGAGCGCCTGGCGGTGCGCGAGCACGCTCCGCGTCGGCGGCGGCCGACGCGCCGCCGGCGGCGCGTCCGGGAAGAAGCGCGTCCGCAGGAGCCTGCGCGCCGACGCCCAGTGCTTCGGGTACCAATACTGCGACGCGAACTCCGCCGACATCTCGGGCGTCCAGACGGGCTGCGCGACGGAGACGCCCGTCGCGTCTTGGTACGCGTCGACGAGCGCTTCGACGATCGTCGTCAGCGTGTTGAGCCAGTCGACGGCCTCGTCGGAGACGCGCGGCGCCCAGTACGTGAGCGGATCGGCGACGATCGCGAACGCCCGCAGCGCGCCGTCGTAGGGCCGGAACGCCAGGGGCTCCGTGCCGTTCTCGCCGTCAACGTCGACGAGCTCGAGCAGCTTGTCCACGTGGAACTCCGGCGGGAACGTCGCGAGCCGCTCGGATGCCGGCGTCTCGGCGAGCGGCACGCCGCAGTCGCGGAGGTACTCGCTCCGCTGCTTGACGAGCAGCCGCCGCCACCAATTGCTAAAGTCCGTGCAGCGCTGCACGAAGAACAACTGCAGGTAGACCTTGCGATTCTCGATGTCGTCGGTGTTGATCGTTCGCTCGAGAATGGACGCCATCGTTGCGTGGGCTGCGAATACGGTTCAGGCAACCACGTCTACGCTTCGACGAGCGACGCCATCGTTGTAGTGGGCTGCTATGAATTATGAAACAACGGCGTCAACGGCTACGTTTCCCTCGGAGAGCAGCCATTATGGCCGTGGACGCAGCCCACGGAGAGCAGCCCACGATGGCCGAGGACGCAGCCCACGATTGACGCAGCCCACGATGGCAGCGGACGCAGCCCACGATTGACGCACAAGCACCATGAAGGTCATCATGGTCGGCGACAGCCTGACCGCCGGCTTCTACGCCGGCGGATCCAAGTTCGCGCCGCCGGCGGCGACGCTGCAGAAACTCCTGGACAAGGAGTGCGGCAAGGGGAAGCACACAGTCCAGGCGTCGAGCTCCTGCGGCGAGACCGCGGTGTCGATGGCCAAGCGAAAAGTCATCGACCCCCAGTTCGCCAAGCGAGATCCGCCGCGAGTCGTCGTCATCCTCGGCGGCACGAACGACCTGCGCGCCTGGCCCGTCATTAGCGTCGACGAGATCCTCGAGGCGCTGGCGACGCTCGCGGCGGCGGCCGCCGCGGGCGGCGCCGCGCCGCTCCTGCTCACGGTGCCGAGGATGCCCGCGAGCGAGGACCGCGCGGCGGCCCTCACGGCGCGACGGCTCGAGCTCAACGGGAGACTCCGCGACGACGAGCGGTTCGCGACCGCGGACGTCGCGCGGGCCTTCGAGGACGCCGGCGACCTCTTCGACGCCGACGGCCTCCACCTCACACCGCGAGGCTACGCGACGCTCGCGGAGGCGCTGTTCCCGGCGCTCCGCGCGGCCCAGAAGACGAAGAAGCGTAAGCCTCGGACCTACTTGAGGACGAGGACGCGGCCGTCCGCGGGATCCTCGACGATGTCGGCGATGGCCTTGAGGATGCCCTTGAGCAGCTCCTTGTTCGCGGGCGTGTCCTTGAGGCGCTTCTTGTACTTGACGAGGAGGTCCTTGGTCTTCATGCGGCCGCCGCGGGACGCGATGAGCGCGCGGACCTCGTCGGCGGTGAGGAGCGTGGGCCCCACCGCGGCCGGCGCGGCGGCCGCCGCCGGCGCCGCGGGCCCGGCCCAGGGCGTCGCGCCCTTGGACGGGCCGGCCCAGGGCGTCGCGCCCTTGTCGGGCCCGTCCCAGCCCTTCGTCTCCTCCGTCTTCGCGCGCTTCTCCGGGCGCGCCTTCGCCTCCTCGTGCTCCGCCTCGCGCCAGCGCTTCGTCTCGACGGGCGCGTTCCTGTCGACGTGCGCCTTCGTCTTGTCGAGCTCCGCCTGCTCCTTCTGGGCCTTGTCGTCCTTGTCGTCCTTGCCCTCGTCGCCCTCGTCGTCGGACATCGCGTCGTCGTGGAAGTCCATGCCCTCGAACTGGTTCTTCTCCTCGTCGGCCTCGTCGTCCTGGAAGTCCTCCTCGAAGTCGAGGTCGTCGCCCATGCCCTCGTTCATCTCCGCCTGCTCGACCTCGGCGCCCGACGCCGACAAACCGAACGCCGCCGCCTCGGCGCCCTCCTCCCGGAAGAGGTCGCCCTGGCCCGCGCCGCCGCCGCGGCGCCCGCCGCCGCCGCCGCCGCCGCGCTTCTTCGGCTTCTCGTCCTCCGGCCCGGCCATCTTCGCCGCGAGCCGCGAGAGCGCCGCCGACGGCGCGCGCGCGGGCGCCGCGGGCAGGCCCGCGGACTCGGCGCGCTCCGCGTCGCGCTTCATGCGCCAGGGCTGGAGCTTCGCCGCCGCGCCGACGTCGTAGCGCACGTTGTCGTTCTTCAGCGCCTTCTCGACCTGCTCCTGGTTGAGCGTCTCGTGGCTCGACACGGGCCGGAAGTTGAACCAGCTGTCGACGACGGTCGCCTCGAGGCGGCCCGGCGCCGTCTCCCGCAGGAGCACGTAGGTCGACGCCTGGCCGCCCTCGCGCGTGCCCACGAGCGCCTGGCCGCCGCCCGTCGTCCGCCACCGGTGCTGCTTCTCGCGGCGCCGGCCGCGCCACCGCTGCTTCTTCCGCAGCCACGGCGGCACCTGCACGGCGTTCGGGTCCTCCTCGTCCTCGCTCACGTCCGACTCGAGCTCCTCGACGAGCGCCCCCTTGGCGGCGCCGTCGAAGAGGGCCGTGCACGTGGCCACCGGCGGCACCTTGGCCATGCAGACGCGGCCCGCGCCGCGCACGACGCGCCACGACCGCGGCGGCGCCGACGACTGGTCGACGTCCATGGCGTCGTCGGCCATCGATGCGACGAGCGCGAGACGCGATGCGATGCAGCGGTGCGCGCGCGCAGCGACGCGGTGCCTCGCCGCCGAGCCTCGCGCCGTCCGCGACGCCAGCCGCGCGACGCGCCCGCCGCCCCATTGCGTCCGCCCCCCAGAACGTCTCTGGATAAACGAGACGTCATGTATAGCAGAGGGCCGGGTGTCGTCGGCGTTCGGCGGGCGGGGTCGGTTCGGTGGGCGGCGCGGCGAATTGGGCGCGCCGGGGAGGCATGCTTCGTACTCCCGTCGGCGCGCGGCATCGGCGGCGCGCCTCAGGACAGGGCGCCGACGGGGAGCCAGAGGCCCGGCAGGTCGTCGGCGCCGCGGTGCTCGGGCCGCGGCGGCGCGGCCGCGCCGTCGTCGCGGCCGTCGCCGAGGTGCGCGAGGAGCGCGTCGAAGCCGTCGGCGGCCTCGTCGGCGCCGCGGGCGAAGGGCGCGTCGGGCAGCGCGGCGACCTCGACGTCGAGCTCGTTGCGCAGCTGGCAGAGCTCGAGCTCGGCCTCGACGGCCGCGTAGTCCATCCGGCCGTCGAAGGCCATCCGGCCGTCGAAGGCGCCGTCGCCGAGCTCGCCGCCGAAGAGGGGCGGCGGCGCCGGCGAGTGGTCCGACGCGCCGTCGTCGATCTCGCCAAAGGGCGGCGCGCCGCCGAGGGCCGCGGCCGCGCCGGGCTCGGCG